GAAAGAGAGAAAGAGAGAAAGAGAGAAAGAGAGAAAGAGAGAAAGAGCAAGAGAAGGGAAGAAGGGGGAGGGGGCAGGTGTTCCCAGGACACACCAGGGAGAGGGGTGTACCTGGGTATTGCATCCAGGGACGCCCCAAAGAGCGAAAAGAAGGAGGGAAAGGGGAGGAAAGGGTATTAAGGTTCCGGCAGGTCCCAATGGACGCTTGGACTGCTGTGGTCACCTCTTAGCTGCCTACTTCAATTTAATATTTCAGCAAGTCTTGGCAAATAACTTTGGCGTAAGCCTCCCACGCTCGCTGTGAGCTGCTCTGTTTCTGGGCAGTGGAAACGTTGGACAAACCCCTGTTCGACGGGGCCACAGGGGGACACTCCTCGGGTACACCCTGGACTGGCATGAAGACAGACACACTCAAGATATTGCATACTGACTCGATGGCGGTTGGCCACACGCCAGCCTAAGTAAATATAGACCTATGAGTCCAGGGTAAACAAAGTAGGTTGGAGGTCATCGCTTCAGGTTAGAGGGCATCGAAAGCAGGTTGAGGGGCCGTCGCGAGTAGGTTGTTGACATGAAACAGCAAGACAGCCAAAGTTAGAGGTCAACGCTCCTAGGTTAGAGGCCATCGAAAGCAGGTTGAGGGACCATTGCTAGTAGGTTGGTGACATGAAACTACAAGACAGCCAAGGTTAGGGGCCATCGCTAGTTGTTGGAGGCCATCCGATCAGGTTGAAGGCCCTCGCAGGGAAGGCTAAGAGTTGCCGAGGTGTCGGTGTTGGTCTTCATGATTCTGCTTACAGCTGCCGCAATTGGGTGTACTTCTGGCATGGGAAGTTCCCGAGATTCTGTGGTCTTCAACCTTAGAAGTGTTCCTCAAGCCAGGGAAGTCTTTTGCGTCTTGACTGATATTGCCGCCTATATCCAAGAAGAGTCTGAGGATAAAGAAGCAGAAATGGTTGCCTGCTTGGAAACTCAGCTTGACGATCATTGTTTTGAGAAGCTTTATTGTCATTCACAAACTTTGCTTCTGGATCCTAGGAAGCTTTCTCTGTCTATGACCTTGATGCAGTCATGCGAGCGATGAACCTTTTAGCAGATGATCTTGAGATGGTTGTGAATATGGACAAGACTTTCGGCACTCGTATCAACAGTGGCTTGCATGCGATCTAGTTTCACATCTTGTTGGGGTTGTATTTTGGATATCCTGCTTTGCAACATCTTCTCGACGCGACAAAACATACACCAGATCAGAGAATTCTGTTGCTAGTGTACCAATGCACTATTCACAGTCTGCTTGGCCTTTTTGGGAAATCCACCACGGCTTAGCGATTCAGGTGGCACGCGGTCTGTCAGGCCGACAGAGATGTTTTTGAAGCGTTTATCCTCCAGGAGCCAAGAGGGACAGGGTCGGACTGCATATCATTTGTTGAGTGCTACCGCTGTTGACCAATTTCGAACATGGCTTTCATTTCTTCAAATATCCGGCAAGCTTTTGTCTGTAGCACAACTGCGTTCTCCGGCTTGGGGCGACAGGAAACACGCGAGCAAGCTTTCAATAGCCTCAAGGACCTCCGGCTTGAGGGAATCGACCGCAAGAAAGCGAGCTTCCAGGGCCTCTGAGTTGCATTTTTTTGCCTTTGGTTTTCTCCAAACAAATCTTGGATTGCGCCACATGCGCAGGCAACGCACATGCGAAACCTTGCACTGTGCGGTGTGTTTAGATCATCCAGAGTGTGATAATTTGTGATCTTCATGATTCAACACCGCTATGTGCCACACTGTGTATGTTTGCTGTCCTAGCTGCCAAATTGTGTGATGCAGAAGCCACTCATCCTGCTACTGTCTTGAAAGAGATGTTTGGAATTCACCATCTCGCCTGACTCTCCTCTGAATCTTGGGGTGCGGTGGCATTGTCGCAAGCAGTGATCCGCGTTCTTTTCGAACCAAGGTCATTCTGCTCCCTCCCTCCGTCCCTCCCTGTCCGTCCGTGCGTCCGTCCGTCCGTCCCTCCCTCCCTCCCCTCCCTCCTTCCCTCCCTCCCCTCCCTCCCTCCCTCCCTCCCTCCCTCAAAGTAGCAACACAGCAACATCGAGCATAAAAACAAGAACAAGAAGGATGACAAGAGTAAGAAGGAGAAAATGGAGAAGAAGCAGAGGGAGGAGAAGAAGGAGAAGAAGGAGAAGAAGGAGAAGAATAGTTAAAAAGAAGAATCACAAGCCGATTTAGTCTTCGGTCTGAACAAGTCCGAAAGAATTGGAGCTAAACTAAGTGGCACAGATCGAGCCGATTCTTAAATTGGGCCGAGTAAGCCAGTGGCCACGGGTCATGTGGGTTGAGGACAAGGTGGTGGCTTGACGAGATAACGGATTTGCCACAGTCTGATAGCTCTGGGCGAGTAGGTACTTTAGAGCTGATATTGATTGGAGACTGCACTATCAGAGTTTAGCAAGACGAGCGACAAAGTTTTGCCATATTAGCTTTGCATAGTATGACAGACATACTGCAACAAGAACGAGCCTTTGTTGAGGCACCGCGAGATCGTTCGGAGTTTCGCAGCTCAGAGTACACACTCTATGCTCTGGAAAACAAGCTCAACGGCGAGGAGGATGTTGACGGAGATGACAGCACGAAGGATGATGTGGTGGAAGTTTGAGCTCGGAACCTTGCAGACACCGCAGAACAAATTCAGAGTCGACCTTTATTTAGCAGTTGCCTAGCTTGTTTAAGACAAGCTTTTCAGCAACTCTCTTGCCATACTCTGGAGTTTGGCGGCTCAGGCTTGAAACTGGAGAGTTTATTAGACTTTCATTTGAGGAGGCTTCATCTTTGCGTCAAAAGCTGGGCTTAGAAGACACTTGATCTGCCTGCTAACCAGCTAATCAGCAATTGATTGGTTCAAGATGAGTGGAAGTCAGGTCCAAGGCAATCATCCGTAAGGTGCGTTTGACATGGTGGAAGCGGAGGAGAATAGTGATGTGCATTTGTGCAAGCAAGAAGCAGGACCGGACATCGTATGAGCTTTACAGACAGGACAGCTAGTCAACAACCAGCAACTTACAAAACAGGTCCTGCCTTTGATGCCATCCTCACGCAATGTAGTTGCATGTTGCGGGGGAGCGAATGGCACCTATTCTCAGCTGTTTGCATTGCCCTTTGAATTCTTTGAGGATTGAGTTTGCAAACAGCAAGAATCTCAGTGAGTTAACAGCGCAACTAGGCGCTCTATGCGCCCGTGGAGCAGTCTCAGGTCTGGAATTGACATACTGGTGGGGTGAGGGGTCAAAAGCATGGGACAATATTTCTTCACACGTTGCTTTGCAGAATGCCTTTGTCGATTCGCAATTCTGATCAGAGAGCAACCCATATGCCATATATGTAGATCATTTGTAGAGTAGAGTTAGAGTTGGATCTCGTGAGCTCACTAAAACGAAAGAGATTGATGCGGTTCCAGAACTTGTGGTTCGTCTGACGATTTGTTGACGCCTGGGTTCCTGCAAAGAACCTTCTGCCTCAGTGGGAAGCTGCATTCCAGCTTGTTATGCTCAACTTCAAGGGGTGCATGGGCTTATGGGCAAGTGGATGCATGCAATTGTATACACAAAGTACAGTACATGTGTCATATGCAGATAGGTTAATGTGAGTCTAAAGAAAGACAACTATATTGTATCTCTCGATGTGTACTTTCTTCTTTTCTCGACCCGTGCCTTGCCACTGCCAGAGCCCGGTTGAGCTGCCGCAATGTGTTACAGATAGAACTGTTCAGGCCAGGAAGATCCAGGGCGAGTGAGACGCGAAAGGGTGGATGGAAAGCATGAGCCTGTTACTGTTTCTGCTTGGGGATGCGGAGGAATACCAGTGCCAAGTGCATTTTGTTTCGATCTCTTTGAAGTATTCAACCATTATATTATATACAAAGGGTGATTGTGTCAGGAGTAATAGTTATGGTAGAGCCGGATCTGGGGTGTAAAAGGACTGCAGAATCTGGAGACAGAAACAAGAGGTTGCTGGGATCACGCGGAGTTTGCAGACTTGCACGACCTTCCAGGAATCTGGAGAACTAGCACCTGCAGTTTTGGGTCGTCGTCTTGGCGCTCAGCTGTTTCGCTGTCAAGAAATGGACTCCATGTTTGCATCATGTGTATATATGTATATATATATATCCATTGTATATATATATATTTATACACATACATTTCGGAATTGTAGATCGCCAGCTCTGGATTGCCTTTGGGGGGCTACTAGGCCTTGACGTGTTTTTTTTCAGTGCTAGTGTTGAATCTTGCAAGTTTAGAGGTTTTTGTTCGATGCAAAGTACTCATCATTCAAGATAATCAATCTTTGTTCAGTTGAACTACGACGGATGACATACTTGTCTCGACTCATCCAACATGAACAAGTGCGCCTCGTTCCCACTTCATGCAGAGCCCAACGTGACCATTTACTGTAGCAATCCAATCTTGCCGTAGTAGTGAACTCATGTTGTTTCACGAAATGATCAAAGAGGTTATATATTTCCAGAAGCCTCTAACAACCTTTGAATTTGTTTTTCAGCGCAGTTGCGATTTGCCGCTGTTGTCAGATCAAGAGAGGTTGTATTAGCTGGGGATGAGGACTGCTGACCGTGTGCCGGACCCGCCGTAGCGCAGCATGGTATTTGTGGAAATGATGATGGGAAAGGGTGCAGCAGCAGCTGGAATGGGCATGGTGAAGGCGAACTGACATGAGAAACGACCAAAACCTCCCATGGAACAAATTGAAGAGATGTAATGTAGGATGCGGGCATCCCGCAAACTCAGTAAATGCTGGTTTTCTTGTTTCCAAAGCAGCCAACAGTCGTAAGTGTGTCGCACGGTCTCTTCTGACAGCCAACTGGTCCCGAAAGCAAAGCAAGTAGCGCCTGGCAAGCAGCTCATATCATGGAATCAGGTGATGCTCCAGACTGCAAACAAGATGCCATGTGATAACAAATATATATATATATATATATATTTGTTTTTGTTTTTCCAACATGTTGAATCATTACTAATTACAGTCAATTGCACGCTCTGAAAGATCCAGATTCAGCCTCTGTATCATGTCCGGAGGTGTGGCGTGTCTAGCTGCAAGAAGTACTTGCGAGACTTCGCAGAGTTAGAGGTGGACGGTAGAAACATGTTTGTCAAACAAAAGTGCGTGCCAGATGGCATCGATGGGTGGCTCTGGCACAGCCACAGCTGCTACCTGGTTGGGGCCCACCCATGATCTGCTGAGAGGTCGCCTGGCCAAGATTCTATACAGAGACGGTTGAAGAAATGTTTGAGGTGATCTTGAGGCGGGAGGTTTCTATCAGCACTCTTGAGGATATATATATATATACTGTATATGTATATATTTATGTATAGTTCATAGTAACAAAGGCACACAAGATATGCACATGTCCTTCAAGGTAAAGTACAGTGAAACGACAACGTCACAGTACAACGTCTTGCTTGTCGGTGTTGAGGCACTTGAAGTGCTACATTTTCGGGGAACGGGCAGCCAAGTGTTCCTGTTGAATTGCAGCTGTAGAGATCCAATCAGCTGAAACTTCCAACTTCTTGCCGTTGGAGGCCGTCGCTCTTTGGTTGGAGGCCATCGCTAGTAGGTTGGAGGCCATTCCTATTGGGTTGGAGGCCATCGCCGTGTTTTTGCTGCGGACGGTTAAGGAGTCACCGATTTGGCGCCGCCGGAGAAGGTGAGTGGTGTGCTGCCCTGCTGCATGTAGCAAATGGTGACTTCCACCTGAGTACTTCGGTGGCTAGGTCTCCACCTAATGGTGTCCTTGTTCCTAGTGGTAAGGCCAGGAGCGCCTCTAGTAGCGTCCTTGCTCCGTTCGTTGCGATGCCCTTTGCTCCTAGTAGCTTCGGTGGCTAGGTGTGCCTAGCCCTGTCCCTCAGGCTCAGTGGCTTCACAATGCTCACAGACTCCCTAACTCAGAGTTTGCAGGGAGCAGCCACGGAACTGCTTGGCACTCAGACCAAAGCAGAACTAGTAGTGAAAGTGATGCAAGGCCATGCAGGAAGAAGAAGAAGACGAAGAAGAAGACGAAGAAGAAGAAGAAGAAGAAGAAACAGAAGAGTAACCAGAAGCAAAGTCGATCATATTTGCGCACCAGCACCAAAGCAAGTATGCTTGCTACTCTTATTATAAGGCCAGGACAAAGCTGGTGACCCGAATAAACAGTTTTAACTCCAAGCTGGTCGTACATATGCCACAATATCCTCCAAGTGCATTGGGTACATATGCCACAATATCCTCCAAGTGCATTGTCTAGTGGTATTCAACATCACCACTGCACAAAGTGATGCCCATCCCTCCCTGGATAGGAGTAGTGGATGTAACTCTTGCTGGCCCCGGCAGACAAAGCTAGCAACAAAGTCAAGTTCAACATTCGTCGCAAAGACTAGCAGCACTCAATAAAGCCATGTGGCAGCATACGATCCAAAAAGATGTGTTTTGCAGTTTTGCCCTGTCCGCATTTGAACATGTTCCGGAATACCTTGTAGACACTAAAGAATGAGCACTGATCAACATCATGTTGTGCATGCGTAAAGCGTGTGAAAAAACGCGAAGTCAACTGAATAGCAGTGCTTTCCAGTATCAAGCTGCGAAAGTGCTGCGATTGTGCTCAAAGAAACTGTCCAACAACATCCCAACCCCTCGAGGTGAGTTTCCATCTCGGGGCGGGCATCAACATCAGTCGGACTAGGTGTCGTAAAATTTCCAAGGTTTGCATCCCCCCAAGAAGCAAATTGCACTGGTCTACGTAGGCACTGAACTATGTACTGTACCTCCTCGTTTGTGTTCACGTGAAGGCCAAATGTCCTTAATGATTCAGTCTAGTCCTACAAGCCACTGTTGCTTTTTCATCACAGTATTTCCAAAAAGCCGTTTGTCTTGTGGGTGAATGGCTGAAGCTTGAATTACTGGCTCTTTGGCACTCCACACAGCTTTTTTGTTGCCCACAGTGTCTCTGAGCAAGCAGGTGTTCGACACAAAGGTTAGGAATCCATCAAACTAAGCTGGTCGGTCAAGTGTCAAAGATCTGCCTCTCCACATCCTGAAGATGAAAGACCATCAAGATGTGTGACTCCAGGAAAGCAAACCAGCAAACCCTTGAACTGTCGTAGAACGTCCCTTGCCTATCACGGTGAAGCCATTGGAATTCAAACAACATTTTCTTTTTTTAGTGTTTCTACTTTAGTTTCATTTCCAACAGAAGGAAGACAAGGCCGACACAATGACCAACAAGGAGGGAGACAAAAGGAAACAGAAGGGAGACAAGACCGGAGACAAAGGGAGACAGAAGGGAGACATGCCGACACAATGAAGGGAGACAAGAAGGCAGACAAAGACAAGGCGGACACAATGACCAACAAAAAGGGAAACAAGAAGGGAGACAAGGGCGGACACAGTGACCCGGTTTCTGAATTGGATATCAATTCAGAAAGGTCGACATAAGGCCTATGTCAATGAGAGCCTCTTCAAGCTGTTCGTAAAAGTTTTTTCTCGAGTTCGCAAAGGTATTTTTTTGTTCGTGAAAGATCTGCGAGAGATCCTATCGTACTCTATATGTTAGAACTATATACTATATACTTCATACATACTTCACTCAGGAGGAGCCTTGATTCCTGACTTTCGATGCAGTCTAAAATGATTTGACTTGGCCATGGCTCCTAGGCACAGCTAGTCATAGGGATACATTCATGAGCCTCTTTACATTGCACGTTATATAGCTCACACTTGCGATGCACAATCCCAGGGTTTATAGTAACTCTCTTGTTGTTTCGCTTTGGGCCTAGAAACCCACCATTGACGCGCCATTTTTTGGCGAAAGATTCGCGAACGTTTCGCGAAAGCATAGGCGAATGTGAAGCCTGTTTTAGGTTTGTGGACCCCTGCTCAAGCAGCGAAAGACCTCGCAAGACATGAGCATAAAAAGTGTTGATAGCGTGCTCGTCTAAAACAATCAACACAAACAGATGGAAGTGCATCGGCTGATATTTAAAACCACTAAGCCACTAAGAGTTCTAGAGGACATACCCCCCGTGAAAGTTAACATTTTTTGTTGGCGAAGAATGGCCTTTCAGCAAGAAGGATTTTGATCAACCACCATATCAGTTTCACCGCCATGATCTTGACATTATTCATCATCATCAAGAGTAATGACCCGATTTTGACAAAGGATTGCAAAAGAAGGATTTCTACGATTACTCCCACCGGGCTAAGTGTTCACTGTAGTTTTTGGCATTATTGTAAAGCGGACTAATCACAAGCTGGGTTTGTCCGTTTGGGCCTTTTTTGTTTCCCTATTTCTAACGATTGTTTTCCTAACAGTCTAACTAATGCTTTTTTATTTTTGTGGAATTTTGCACGAAGTCGCTTAAAGTCGCGATTGATCAAGGGGCCCAACAAGGTCCGAACCCCTCCCCAGGACCCCGAGCCCCGCCAGCTTAAAACCCAGAATTCGCAGCAATCAAAACTGGTATCATGCTATAGCTGAAACCGCGCGTCCCTAGTGGTTGCCTGTGGATTGAATGTGGATCAGTGAGTTGCCTTGTCCATCGTCAGGGCAAGATACTTTCAAGCAGTGTGAGAAGGCCACCCCAAATCCTGCCAAAAACACCTTTCACAATCGCGCACTTTTCTCATGTTTTATTGTCCACTTCACAGCGTCTGACTTTTAGAGTCTCAAAGCAGCTCAGAGTGTCCGCTCTCGGAGCGTTGTATTGATCTCTGCTTCAGGCAGGAAAGATTCAACTAGCCACATCTGCAGCAAACAACTCAAGAGAGTGTGCGAAGTCCTTCCTCGCAGCGCATGACTTAAAGTTGACAGCAAGAAAGACGACTCGCTGCCTGAGAGGGCACTTTTATCAAAGCAAGACTGAAGGAGTTTCTCAACCTTATGTGGAGGCGAACTCCTCTCCGCACTTGCGCTTGTGCAATCAAACTTGGTTCACTTGGTTGGAGTTGTAGCCCTGAATGGCAAAACACGACAGTTTTGTGGTATCACTTCGGAGTGACAGTTCTGGCAAACTTTTTATTGTCAGTCTTTGTTCTTGTCATCATTTCTTTGTTTTTCAGAATGAAGCTGATGGTTCGTTTCGTCATGAGCGGGAAGTGCTGGATCCCACTGGTCTCGCCTTCAATCAGTTCCGTTTGTCCAGGTCGCAAGTGTCACCTGCCAGCATTGCAGGGGCGGCAGCCTTTGTGGGTACATTGGGTGGCTGGGTGGCCCAGAAAACCCGGAAGGTAGCGATGCACTTAGCCTCTAGTAGCTTCTTGCTACTAGTAGAAATGCACTTGTTACTAGTGTTACGAACATGGCACACCTGCTATCAAGACACCCTTTGACCACTTGTCTTCGTGTCGACATCAAACGAGAGCTGCTTGTGACCAGCTCCTGGGTGTTGGGCAGTGCTGCGTTGCAAGAAACAATGCTTTGGAATTGCTGTCTCTTGACAACCGCAGTAGTTTTGCACGAAGAAAGTGGATAGGCACACGTGCACACACACACACATAAACCATTTAAGCACACTTGTGGATTTAAGTAGCCTAGAGGCCATCGCTAGTAGGTTGGAGGCCATCGCTAGTAGGTTGGAGGCCATTGCCAGTAGGTGCTGCGGATTTAAGTAGACCCTGAGGAAGAAGTTTCGCTTCCTGTATGACTCCAGTGTATTCTTCCTATGCTGCCACATGCTGTGCAACCTTCTAGTTGTAGTTTCTGAAGTTTTGCAAAGTTATTTTCTTGCAGATATGGTAACGTGGGGGGCATTTACTTGCTTCTGCCGAATCATGAGCTCTTAGTTTGTTTTTCCAAAGTGGTTTTCATGTGTATCCAGCTTCGTCTTTATATCAGCTTTGGTTGAGCTTGGATCGAATATTGCATTTGAATGCTGTGACTATGACTATTTGGGGCGTCAGAGGTGCCATGGGCCCCTGGTGGTCTGGTTTTGGCACTTCAGATGTGTTGCCACACCGAACCTAGCTTGCGAGTTTCAAGAGCACCATTAGTCATTGCTGCAGGGCCATCGGTTGTTTTGTTGGAGACACCTCAGTTGCATACACATATGTACACTTTGGAGTATCCCTCCTCACAGTAACAGTCGTCAAACCTTTTGCTGCTAAACTTCACAGCAGAAGGAGCACCAGACATGTCAAGCAAAAAATCAGGTCAGTTCAACAAGATGTCATCTTGAATTGTGATTTGAAGTTTGAAGGTTGAACCCCCTGTCATCTCATCTCATTCATCTCATCTCATTCACTCCCATCATGTCTCTTTCAAGGCCCTCTCGTCGCATTCACTCCCAGTCTTTCACCAAGCTGATGTTGAGTTACACTGCACTGCCACCGTGAACGCTGCTGCTTTGAAGGTTCAAATGCATGTGTTGCCTTGCCAGCGCCAACACTTATCGAGACTTCTCTACAGTCATATGGCTGTTCCCCGGTATTGTTTTGGAAGTATGGCAGTGTGGATAAAGGGCCTGCAACCTGCACTTGCTGAGGTTATCAGGTAGCCAGCCTTTGTTGTGCTTTGTTCGACCAACATGCCATTTTCACCAAGTTTTGCTCCCAGTCACCTTCTGCAAAGCAGTCTGCAGGACCAAATATAGTAAAGTTTGCAAACGTCAATCTACTTCTGGCTCACTGATCTCTTTTTCTGCACCTCTCATCTCTCTTTAACACTCTCCCCAGACTGCGGCATGGGCATGCGCATGTGACGCTCACCTATATATATATATATATAGGCTCGTGGGCATTCTTTGCCCGCCCCACCCCCAAAATCGAAGAATACCCCCCTTCACCCAGGGCTACCGGCGGAGCCTGCCAGAGTCACGGGACCGCCACGGTTCTGACCCGCCGTTTCCGCGGGGACAATCTTCCAGAATAGCACAACTTCGGTGGCAGGAGGAGCGCCAGAATAGCACAAGTTCAGTGGCAGGAGGAGCGCACAACTTGGGTGGCCGGAGGAGCACCAGAATAGCACAACTTCGGTGGCAGGAGGAGCACCAGAATAGCACAACTTTCTTCCAGCGCGCAATTCTGACCCACCGTTTTCCAGAGAAAACTCATAGAACACCAATCTGGCCTGCAATTTCTCGTGCTATTTCCCGTTCCCAACAAAAGCACCCAAAATAGCGCAACGAGGGGCACCAGAATAGCACAACTTCGGTGGCGGGAGGAGCACCAGAATAGCACAACTTCGGTGGCAGGAGGAGCACCAGAATAGCACAACTTCGGTGGCGGGAGGAGTGGCAGGAGGAGCACCAGAATAGCACAGCACAACTTCGGTGGCGGGAGGAGCGCCAGAATAGCACAACTTCGGTGGCAAGAGGAGCACCAGAATAGCACAACTGTGGTGGCGGGAGGGGACCAGAAGCACAACTTACAGATGCGGTCAGGGCCCACCCCAACATGGGGCATTTACTTTAGTAGGCGGACCTCTCAGGCCAACCTATAGCCCCAGCTCAACCGGACCTTTGCTCTAGGAGCGGCAGCCCCAGGCTGAAGCCGGTCCCTGTTCCGGCCAACAGTGACTTCAGTTACCGAGCCCTTTAGCAGGTTCCAAAACTTCCATAATGCAGAGAGTCATGCTTGATCTCCAGTCACATAGAGGCCAGCCTTGTTCAGTACTTAACTTGAACGCGAGGTGTGTTTATGCCAAGGACCACAGTGCACCGCAGGCGGACCACAGGCTAGAGAGAGAGAGCTTAGAGAAAAAACGGGCTGCTGCGGATTCAGAGTAGACTATTCTAGTTTAGGGAGGGGTGAGTCTAAATTTTAGATCAGCTTTTGGGGTCACATTTTCTCGTGCGCGTCGTGGTGCTCATCTTTGTGCATGCTGTTAGTGTGCCGAGGGATGTTACAATGTACATTATACTTCGAGTCATCCGTTGAGGCTTGCACTCCTTTGGCATTCTCAAGGTGACTTGGCATAGGTTGGGAAGGCAGATAAAAATGTTGAGGGCAGCTACGACACATTCCATGGCATTGCGGCCGGTGCTTGATATTAGGAACCGTAAACTATTGGACATTCTGAAGCACGATTCTGAAAATATTCCTGTGCGATCATTTGGGCAAAGGTACCAGCATGGCTTTGTGGCGAAGAAGATCAAGACCAAAACCAAAGGGAAGTGAATGGCTTCAACTGTCTGCGGCCAAGACCAGAGGGCTTTTGTCCAGACAAAGGGTACTCTACCCTAAACTCTCTGAGTGGACAAGGGCTTGCTTGCTGTCAATCTTAGACCACATGAGTCATGGTCTAAATCAGCGTAGACCACTTTAGCAGGGAGGATGCAGTTGTGCTGAGAAAGTCCAACAAACCATGGGGCCTCTTTCAAAAAGATAACCAGTACCATTCTGTACCCTAAATACAATGAAGACATGTAAAATCATAACCCGCAACAATAGCCGAAACATTTTCTCTACACTTGCATGCTCCTAAAGCCCCAATCCCACCCTTCCGTCATGCAATCGGTATCGAAGCTGCGCTCGATAGTGACACATGAGCGGTTTCGAAGGGTGAAACACGACTCGCCGAGGCAGCATCCGCCCGAGCATCGCAATGATTTGCCTTTCGGATGCACTGACATCTGCGGCCATTTTCTCTTCCATCGGAGTACCACTTGACGTGCCCTGGGGAAAGAGTCCGGCTTGGTCGCGAGAATCAATCAAGTGGCTGAACTACAGATTTTTTCATGCATGATATGCATGTCAACTTGGTTGGCCTTTCTTTGTTGCGAAATCGAACAACTTCACAATTTTTTTTTTGCTAGATGTAGCCGGGCAATTGTCCTCCCGAGAAGCTTCGACACTCAGTCGGGGACAAAGTTTTTGTCTCAAGCGGGGTGGTATTCAGGTTGCATTTTGCCGCCTGCAATAAAGAGAATGAAACTCAACACTCACAAGCTGACAGGCCATGAGTTCAGGCATGTTGCCATATTTAAGCTGTCTTTGGCCGTGTCCGCTTTGGAGCCTGGGCGCTGGCGCCGCTGGAGGGCGCTGCAGAGTGCCGTGAAGAGGAAGGATTTTAGACTTCATGGGTTTCGCGTTGTTGGATAGAAAAAGCCACCACCTTGTTCTTTGTGCCCTTTTTGTCTTCCTCTATTCTATCTTACTTGCTACACACTCTCTTTGATTGACGCCTTGAGTCTTCCACCTAAATCGAAAAGACGACAAACATGTAGCTGCTCCAGGTACCTCTGAGAACCTTTGCTGCGGGAACGCTGGTGCTCTCGTTTCCAACCACATGGTTCACAGACAGAAGCTCGCTTCATGTTTACAAGCGAACTTTTGAGGTGAACCATCTTCAACGTACAAGTAAACTTAAAATGCTGTCATCCAAATGTAGTTCAATGACCAGGGAAAAGGCCATGGCACTTGCAGCTGTAATTACTGCAATAGTCTGGCAGAGAATCAATGGACAGGTCAGTAGAGAGCTGCATGAGAGAGAAATTGCAATCTTGGGTGAAACAGTTGTGCTGCCAGTGCTCCTGTGTACAGGCGTTGCAAGGCATTGCCAGGCCTTCGGACAGAGCGCAAGTCGAGGAGGCGAGGCAGATCGTAGCACGTGATGAAAGGCATAAATGACACCTTCACTGACTTCACTTCCTTCCATATTCTGTGGCAGGCATAATGGCGGAGATGATGGCTACAGCAGGAGCCTTTTGTTGGCTCTCCTTCGGAACTCACCTCATGAGCATCTCTCACAATGCTGGGCAGGCTGGGCCATTGGTCACCTGGCCCTTAGAGACTCCTCTCAGCTGGATCAACCCTAGCATGTCCATATGCTCTTCAATTGGTCTATGAGCGTTTCAACACAGTGTCCTTTCTTGTTTGGAACCAGTATTTGCTGCCCACCTCGCTCAGAATGCCCCGCTGCTGTTCTGGAATACCTTCATACAGTGTACGGTACCTTGGTTGCAGTTTTGACGTGGCTGAAATTCCCCTTTTCTTTGAGGGTTCTAGTGGTGTAGTCGCCTTGAATAGTTCATTGCTTCGTTCTACTTGCACGGTGCCGTTTCTTCCAAAATGATCCAAAAAGGGTGCAGTGACACCTCTGATTTCAGCAACAGTTAGTTCACTCAGAGCCTTGGAGCTTTCACTTGTTTTCTCTAGAATCAAATGCAATCAATCCTCTGGTTGCTTTGGAGAGATTTCTGTCATTCAGAATGCACCATTATATATGTATATCTATACATATCGTCACTACACCCCAAACAGTTTTTCTTTTTTGTACTTTTCGGTGGAGTATGTATCATGCACATCGTGCATGGACACTTAGGATACACTCACACCGGATATGAGGGGAGTGTGGAGGAGCTTGAAAGAGTTGTGTTAACTGAGAACCTCCTAACTAGATCCTTTGCAATGTCATGACACCGTCGCTCAAGAGAAGTTCATAGATCACAGATCAAAAGCGACTGTAGTTATGTTGTGTACCGAAAGCCTTTCTAGGCTTAGCCTCTTGCCATTGACGGACATGCACAGCAAATCCGGAGTTGGACACCTCCAACTGTATCACAGGTGACTCATGAGTGTGTTCTTCAGCACTGGTCTCATCAGCACCCCGGCCCCCCCGCTATGGCAGGACATGTTGAACCAATGTAGTAAATCCCAAAACCTGCGTGTGATCAAGGTTCAAGAGTGTTTTGCCTTGATCCTTTATTCAGCTTGGTGCAAAGACGATAGGTGTTGGACAAGAAACACATGTTTGCCATCATGCATGTACAATGTGCCGCACTTCTTATTGAAACTGGCGTGGGATCCTATTCCGATCTTTTTTGTAATTGCTTTGAGGCTGCATGGTCTTGCCTGACCTTTGCCATGCTAACATTGATTGTCTCGACAGTCCTGACGCTCTCCATGGGTCAGAAGCAGTGAGGCAGGCATGGAAACAAGTTGCCACAGAAAGGTTGGGGGTCCAAGGCCTTCTCCAATTCAAAACGGCACGCTATTGAAAGGCCTTTGGATGCCTTTGGCTATTAGCAGCTTAAAACAGACCTTTAAACCAACGCTGATTGCGGAGATTTTCCACGACTTAAACAGGTTGAACATAGGAGCTAGAATCTTCAGGAACAAACTCCATTTCCAGATGCAAACTGCATTCCTGAAATGAGGAGCCTGCCAAAACTCTCCCAATCTCTTTGTTGGTGACCAGCCTAACAAAGAGAGTAGGAACTTTGGGTTTCGCATGCCTGAGCTGCTCAAGTTGATACATTTCTTGTGCAGCTAGATCTAACCTCTCTGCCATAAGAGAGGAGCTCTTCCATAGTTTGCTCCCATGCAAATCAAGTTTTCGAATCGAGGACACAACATTTTTCCAGCTACCATTTTCCACGACCCATTTCAACGTTTCTGATATTCTCCAGAAACCTGCATTTCCTGGTATCACTTTGTTGTTTTCTTTTTTCAATCATCTAGTTTCTCAGGACAGATTTGTTGCTCCCAGTTCCTTCACAGCTGACATAATAAAAGTCTAGCGTTGTACCTTGGTCAGGTGCTGGCGAGTCCTGGCCAGTTGTTAAGGTCACTGTGGCACAGACTTTCCTTGGAGGACTTCCACAGCTCTCTCTCTCTCTATATAGTTGGATTCGGGGTTTGTTTGCTATCTCAAGTGATGCCAACTGCAAGTGTAGCATGTGGTAATCGGCGGTCGGTGTTTGAAGAGCAATCAAGAGCTTAAAAGTTGGCTCTGTGCTGATGATAGTGCCCACATGGCGGCGGAAGACAGTGTGACTTGCCGTGACTTGTGATGATTCCATGATGCCAAGCCAGCCCTCCATGTGAGCAGAAAGTGCAGCGAGTGTCAAGACACCGCAGTCCATCGCAAATGAATGAATGAGGGAAAAATTCAGCCGTGCTCTTTCTTTCAGGCTGTTTTTTGCTTCTTGTGAAGCTAATCATCTCGGCCTCCTTGACAGCAGCATCGCTGGGTCATGGCAATGTGCTTCTTCAAAGAGACTACAGTGTACTACAGATAACCAGACGTGTTTCCAACCCAATACCCAAACATTTGAGATTTCTTGGTAAGCAAGCTGCATTTGTGTGTAGACAGGAATCATGTTCCATGCAAATGATAGCAAAGCTGCACCTCGCATCCTGAAATACCAATATTCTTTACACTCCCTGGTTTGGAGTTCAAATGCATACTCTTTTGCCCCAATCTATCCTGAGTCGCCCCAATGACATCACCTTTGATCTATCCCCCAGGCCACGCCGATGAGCCCATTCGATCGCCGAGAGCTCATGTAAAGAAAAGAGGAAAAGGATAGTGATGAAATGAAATGCAAGCACAGGCTCTACAGTCTTGTAGGATCTTGTAGGTCGGGCCCTATGTTGAAGCAAGTCTTGAGGAAAGAAACGGGCCATCGGGCCATATGGTGTCGCTTCCACCCCCCCAGCTAGGCGTGAGTCAATCCTGGAGCTAAGCCCAGTGGTGGCGCTGCCTTCTGGGACGGGAGGGAAGTTGAAAACTGACATGGCTACTGGGGTGATGAACGATGGTGGGCAATCGTCTTTTCAAGATTTGAGAAGCTAATCGTCCTTTGCAATCTCCAAAACACTCACGGTCCAGCCCACTTGATGAATTGGTGATGCAGACTCGAGTCTGAGTGTGTAGTTTAACTACACAGGAGATGCTTTTTTGAAACGTGTCGTGTGTCGCAGAGTCCTCGGAAGACAGGAGTGGCTTCCATGAGGAGCGCGTTGGTGCTGAGATTTGTTGTTGTGCAAGCTTGAGCAGTTTGAAGCTTTGCATGGGTAGTCATCGTTAATCAAATTTGGCTTTTCTTACAGACATTCCTTCAAGTGTTTTGGACGTGCTTTCTAGATTTCATGAGCCAGCTTGACACTTGTAAGAGCGCATTCTGGAAAACATTGACTTCAACTGCCTTGGCTGTTGCTCTACGGTGTATGGTCTATGATGATTATGATGTTTATTCAGAACATCTGCACACGTGCTTGTTTGTGTTCGGGCAGATGTTGTATTTCAGAAGACTTTCTGTATTTGTGCAGCTGTCTCACAACCAACATTCCTTGGAGTTTGTCCTCTCCTCTTGGTACGACAGAATGGATCGATGAAGGGGATTTCCGCGCTCACGACATGTTGTTTGTTTCAACAAAAATGCGTTCTTGCCGCAGCAAAACATATATAAATTAATAGCAATGGGAGCCAGAATTGTTGTTCATTTTACTATTATGAGTTAGTCAACAAAATTGTGTTTTTGCGGTTTACCACAATTTCGACCACAGTTTGGCTAAACAGTAACCGCTTGCTCTTTAGAGAGAGAGAGAGAGAGAGAGAGGGAGAGAGAGAGAGGGAGGGGGAGAGGGAGAGAGAGGAACGTTAAGAATGCTCTACGGGAGGTATCTCTACATGTGAGATACTGATGCCATTCTACTTCAAGGCCTTGAGCCTACTGCCACAAGAGAAAAGACTACTGCATTGCAATATTACAAGCCCCAACTACACACTCTGGCTTAGCCGTAGGTCGTCGATTTTAAGGTGGTAGCGGAGCTTCGGCTTCAGCTACATTGACCACTGCGCACTCACCGCTAACGAAGCAAGCATCGGCATCGACGGACTACAGAACATGGCAACAGCCTCAGCACCCACTGCAACAGCAAACGGTGCAGCACCCAGCAGACACAGCAGGTACAGACATTGGAAGACAGATATATCGCTACAAGATAGCACCACCAACATACAATGGGAATTACGCACAATGGGAAGAGTGGAGTCAACGTTTCAAGGCACACCTATGCCTACAACACCGCGACTACGCCAAATTCATACAAGCAGCGGAAGATGCAACAGTTGTACTTACAGACATGGACTTAGAGCTCAGTGCCTCTACAGATGACAAAAAAGACAGATGGCTACAAATGGCCAAGGATTGACACTACATCCCCATCAGCACTTGTACTGGAGCAGCCGCTACAGTAGTTTGAAAAAGCTCTGTGGGTGAATGCAACGGTGTTGAAACCTACAGAAACCTGTACCAGAGGGTTTACACACCAGTTGGTACCAGAAACATTGGCTACTTGGCATCACTACCCAAAACCAAGTTTGATGAACAACGGTTTGAGGAAACCTTCCTACAATGGGAACACGATGTAGCACGCTATGAGCGAGATCATACCTCAGCACCACCAGAATCAGTCAAGATTGCCATTCTACTAAATGAGACTACTGGCGCACTGCAACAACACCTACAACTCAGAGCAGGAACTATTACACACTACAGTGAAATCAGAAACGTCGTTGTGTAATACTACAGAGCCAACTCAAATCTACAGAAGACCAGAACAATGCAGACAGCACCAAACAGTAACACTACATACAATGGGCCTCAACCTATGGACATGGGAAACTACAACAAAGAAAATAACAAAGGGGAAGGACAACCTAAAGGAAAGAACCAAGGCAAAAACTACAAAGGAAAGGGCCACGGCAGTTACAAAGGCAAACGAAAGAGCAACGAAGGAGACTGCAAAGGAAAAGGAGGATCTACGTCCAAAGGATCAGGAAATGTATGCTACAAGTGTGGCAGACCGGGCACTACGCAAGAGATTGCCGTGCCCAGATACACAACATCAGTGAAGCAGATGACTACGGCCATGTCCACGGAGATGATTGGGTGAATGGCTACTACGATGGCATGCGTCAGATCCCTACAATCGTGACACCTACCAGGGGTCATATTACAACAGTACACAGTTGGGCACTACCCTTGACACATTTACCCTACAGGAGTTCGTGTCCCATTTGTGTACGAGCAAAAAGGACGACAAGACGCCTACAAGAAGAACGAAGAAAGACAACCTGTCATACAGGTGGACTTCAGCTACATCAAGACTGCAGCAGATGAAGACTGTCTACCGATACTCACGGCTACCGATGTCACGATGCAGCTGTCATTGGCAGTTGCAATACCAAGCAAGTCTACCATGCACGACTACATGAGCAGCTGTCTCAAAGCTTTCATTTTGGAGTGTGGACGCGCAGGAGGAATCCTGCAGAGCGACAATGAGACAACACTACTTGCAGTACTACAGCAAGCAGCATCCAAGGTAGGCAACGTGCCACCATAGTCTTCCAACTGCCGAAGTGGAACGCTACCACTGGGCATTGTTCGTACAGGTGCAAGCACTACGTGAGCAAGTACAACAAGAATACAGCATCAATATCAACAACAAGCAACCACTACTACCCTGGCTTATCCGTCATGCCACGTGGATTCTCAACTGCTACTTGGTACATACTGATGGACTCTTGTCCTACCGGAAGAGATGGGAGAGAAGCTACAAGCATGCCATCTGTGAGACGGGAGAGACCATTCTCTACCGAACACCAGACAAGAAACTACACAAAGGAGACCTGAACCTACGCAAAGGTGTTTGGCTTGGCATTGACGACAGCACGGCAGAGCCCTACGTAGGAACACAACATTGAGTTATCAAAGCGCGCGCGATCACCCATGGGCACCCAAGCACACCGGACAATACGAACCACTATTCATTCTACCCGGAGACGCTACCAAGCCAACACTCGAAACAAGAGAACACTACAGAGATAGTTAAAGTGACCGACTCAGGACAACAAAGAGACTCCGAACCAGCGCTACCATCTACCTCATCAGTGATAGGGAGTCAAGCAAAAGCAGCGCCTACAGTACCTTCGGCAACATCACCAACAAACGTCGAAAACAGACCAGCGCTACCGGCTGTTCCTCGAAGGTAGCGTCCAGACGAGACTACAAGACATCAGAAAGTCAAAGGACAGAACATGCTGCAGAAGCAACAGCGTACGAAACAGCCACAGCACAAAAACCAGATACAAGGAAACAATAGATCACTATGGTTACTACAACGAATGGTTT